CTTGCTAATATTTATGCACCCAATTTTGATGATGTTCAGTTTTTCCAGAATTTTTTTCTCCCAACTTCCAGATCTGAATTCTCATTCTTTTGCTTTGGGTGGAGATTTCAATTGTTTTATGGATGCATCATTAGATCATTCCTCCTCTAAACCTGCCTGCCCAAATGAATCTGCCACATACTGTACATCAAGTCTTTACTTCAGGCTTTTAGTCTCACTGACCCATGGTATTTTTATACCCAAATGGTAGGGTCTATTCTTTTTTTTTCTCGTGTTCACCACACTTACACACGTATTGACTATTTTTTTATTGACAACATGTTACTTCCAAATCTTGGATCTTGCAGTTATGAAAGCATTACAATTTCTGATCATGCCCCTCTTGTTATCAAGATGGCCTTACCGGACAATGATTTGGTGAAGAAGCACTGGAGACTTGATCCTTTATTGCTTGCAGATGAGAACTTTGTTCATTAACTTCCTCCAAAATAAAAACTTTTTTGAGTGAGAATAGAACACTGGGTATGTCCTGCAAAACAATTTGGGAAGCCATGAAGGCTTTTCTAAGGCCCTATTTACACGGACACAATGGGAGGAAACGCAGGTTTTTTCGTATGTTAATTAGAGGAAAAGATCTGCGTTGACACGGTCGGATTTTGTGTTTACATGCATCCAGAGGATTCCCCCACCGCCCTCCCAAATCCACTGTAGTTACCATGCCGGGTCATTAGATGGCGCTGTGAATTTTGTACCTTCACCTAATGTGCATGTGTGCTGCCTCGGCACGCTCCTTTCCTCTGGGCTAAAAGCTCAGCTAACAACATCTTAACAACAAGTTAAAGCTGGATTTTGGATAAGAGTCGACAGATTTGACGCCAAGCGGGACCGCTTCGTCTAACAGCTCCACACCGGTCGCTGAGTGGACCAGAACTGAGTCGACGATGTCGGACTTTATTCCGTGATAATCAGTAGCTGTCTTACAGCAGGTAAATCAACGTTCTTAATAATGTTAGATTGTGTTTACTTCAGTTACAAAACAACTGAGTTTTTATTTTTCCTGAAAGAAGGAGCTGTCCTTCCACCAGGCGGACCGGGTCTGAACGAGGCTCGGCCCAGATAAACTGCAGGAGGACGTCGAAGAGAGATGTTGGATGAACTATTTATTTAAAATTCCCCTCAGTTCTTTTATTCAATCCATTGAATGTTTTAAGTTGCATTAATCAAAGGAGTGACTTCCTGAATAAGCCAGATGAAAAACGTGGACATCCAGGATGAAAACAAGAGTCCAGTTCATTAATGCAGTTTACAGTTAACATGTTTTAATAGTGTGTTCAGTTTAATTATCAGTGTTTGTGTGACATACAGTTTGTTGTGTTGAATAAATAAATAAAATAAAAATTAAACCTGATGTCTTCATTTTCAACTTTAATAACATGCAATATGTTTAGCATCATTTTAATCACATAATTTGAATTACATCATGTCCAGACAGTTTCATTATATATTGCAAACTTAAGATGAATACTGTTTATTATTATTAAATTTGTTATTTAGCACATAGTATGTTACAGTGCAGCGCAACGTGTGCGCATGCCTCGTTCTATAAACAGCGATATTAGAACTGGATCAGATTGTGTCTCTTCCAACACAGATGTTGGTCACAGCACCTGGAATCTGACGTAGATTAACTACGAGATTAAAAATATATTCCATCAGTCGTAGTTCTGAAAGCAGTGTATCCGCCGCCATGTTGATAGGAATATAGCATCTGTCCGTGCGTGCGTGTGGTTTAACACAAAGCCTCAGCGGGAGATGTTTACATTATCAGCGGGCGGTCAGCGAAAAACCTCCACTCTGGAAGGTGGATTCAGAAACCTCTGGATTCAAAGAGGGGGGCCACTGGTGTCGTGTAAATGATCAGCAGAACCTCAGAGAGAAACCTATGGATGCACTCAAAATATGCTCCGTGTAAACGGCCCCTAAGGGTAGAAGTAATTTCATATGCAGCATTTAAAAGAAAATCTGTAATACAGAAAGAAAAGTATCATTCGGATCAAATATTAAGTATCGATAGGCAATATGCACAATCGCCGTCACCTTCACTATATAAGGAAAGATTGAGGCTACAGACTGAATTTAACATAATTTCTACCTATCAGGATGAAGGCTGTCTGATTAGAACTAAAAGTAATTTTTATGAGCATAGTGAGAAAACTGGTAAAATCTTGGCTAATCAATTGTGAGGCATTAGAGCCAAGCAAATAATACCAGGTGTAAGAACAAACAATGGGAACCTAAAAAAGTTAAATCTGGTCCTCTGGACATTCAAAAAACAAAAACAAAGCAAAAAAAAAAAAAGTAGAAACGTTTCGTCTCTCATCCGAGAGACTTCCTCAGTCTGAGGTGCTGTTTTCAGCTCAGTCTCTTAAATAACACCTTCTCAGAGTGGATCAACCAGTTTGCTGCTGACAACCAAAACCAGTTGATCACATGATCAAGAAGGACTATCAGCCTAACAATGGATCATTAGCACCTGATGGCTGTTTACTATTCACAGAGGGCTGAGTGATACTAGCAATCACAGCATTGTAAGAGGGGGAAAGTTGAACACGGAGGCTCCACCCCTGTTTAATGATGGACGGTTTCTTTTCACAAAGATGGCCTCCTTTACTCCTCTCTCAAACCATCGTTCCTCTCTATCTAGGATGTGAACATCTTCATCCCTGAAAGAGTGACCGCTGGCCTGGAGATGAGTGTAGACCGCAGAGTCCTGGCCTGATGATGTTG